TCTCTCTCTCTCTCTCTCTCTCTCTCTCTCTCTCTCTCTCTCTCTCTCTCTCTCTCTCTCTCTCTCTCTCTCTCGCTCGCTCGCTCGCTCTTTTTTCCCTTTTCTTCACGATGCATGTAGATTACAATTAATAGCGATAATAATAATGATAATGAAGGCTGGATGTGTAATACTAAGGAGACTCGTACGCACTCTCCACGTAGTTTATAGAATAATTGAAAAAGACACAGAGTACGTTCGAAAAAAAAGCAAACAGACACTCTCGTTCGAAACCAGGCAAGAATTATCAGGAGATAAATCGAATTTCTTCCCTTCTTTCTCTTTCTCGCTTCTCGCGTGTCCCGTCGCAAACGCACGCTCAAACTATTCCGTACTCTTCCGCCGGACTTGCGTGGGTACGTTAGAAAAAAATGTTGGCGATACAAACGATGTGAAGAGAGTGGACAATATGTGTACCGAGAAAGTTGAAGTCCGCTCAAGAATGTAGAACTGATAATCGGACAATGATTTCTATTGGTAGCCTACAGCTTACAATTATAATACGTAGCGATGTAAAAATCGAATTACATAGTATGCAATGCTCTACAAAGCGCTTCAACACGTTGTAAAGCTCGAAATAATCGTGATATTCTTAGTGTAACGATCAAGAGGCTGAATGAAAGATACATATTTACTTGTTCGCTGGGAAAAAAAGAAAGAACTTGATCTTTATGTTTATATTCAACAGTGTGACCACCGTACGTGCACCGGTCCTAAATCGTTCAGTTTACGTTAGTACTTTTTTTTCGTCAACCTTAATACCCGCCGTTCGTAATCAATAAATATCAATAAAATATCTAACATTGTTAATTATATTTTCAAGTAAGTTACCATCCTTACTAGTCGTATTATTTTTCATGTACAGATTAAAATTAATTATCATTATATTAACAATATTTATCTTTCCAATAATAATTATTAATTATCCATAATCATAATATTAAAAAAAGATTCACAAAATACCTATAAAATGGCAATTTCACGTGACCAGAACAAGTTTCCGTTATCCCTCGTTTTTATAACTTTTTACAACTCAGCATACACACTTTGTACCAAACCAGGCCGATTGAAAATCGTAGCACGTTTGACATCATTTCACGTGCCCAAATAATACTCCCGCCGTCATTTCACTTCTTTATATTACCTCTTTAAATAATTCGCGATCAATATTCTTCGTATAACGCATTTCTTATTATTATCAAACACTTCCGTACTGCAACCTACTATCTCTTACTCTAGGCCATTTTTTTCATGAAAAGTGCACTTAACGGTGTCCATGGAGCACCAAAATTTAAGGGACTACCACCTCGGCAGAAATTGATTGATTACGCTAATTACGCATCATCTTAGAGGGCTATGCCGTGCGTTATGCCCGTTGCGGTTGTGTTAGTTTCGAATATAAAATATCATTTGCATTAAATATATATCTAAATCTATCACCGGGTAAAAGCGTAGGTACATTAAAAGTAAGGCAAAACTTTACTTCGTAGAAGGATATTGGTATAGAATACGTGATATATGTATATCTATAGCCATATAAATGTAAAATATATAAACATCTTATAAAAACATCTCTAATGTGTCCCATTATGAGAAAGTATCACAAACGTTTACTGGGAGTATTCCCGGAGATGTTTACCTCAAACAATACAATGTAATCTTCATCGAACTGGACAAATAAACTGACTTCTCCGATAGAGAAGTTATTTTTGTGAAAGCATGAAAAATTGTTAACCCCTCGTTAATTGAATATTCGTCGAATCAAATGTGTCTTGTTGCGAGCTCAGAATTCAAATAATAAAGTCAATCATCCTCCAATATGGACGCAATATAACAAGATGGAAGCACAAACATGTAAGTGTAATATCTAAAAATTGTAAGAGCAAAAAAATCAAACTTGTGCCGTTTTTAATCTGAATAAAGTTCATGGGTAAATAGCTTTAGAAATTGATTATCTGAAAAGCGGATTGTTATCCTTTCACACATGATGTCATAGAAATGATAAAGTATAAAATCAATATCTGCCAAAGTTGGTATACCTTTGAACAATGTCCTGCAGTCCAGGAGACTGTTCTCGCTTGCCATTCTCTATCTCTCTCCTTAATATCTACATTCCTAACTTAAGTTAAAACTGTTTGCTGTACTTACATCAAAGATGATATATATCTAATCTAACAATTACATATTTTACAAAAACATTTGAATTATCTGGCCCTACAGCAGACATGAAATGTCGCAAAGTTAATCATACACTGTACACCAAATTAAAAATTTACATAAATTATTGAAATGCACAATTGCCATGTGTCATATTCACTTGTTTCGTAAGATTTCTTTGCATTGTACATGGCTTATGCGCCAATCTTATTTTGTGACACTAGAAACACAAAATTGTATTTCCGAAAGCTGCAATGATCGAAACTCCATTTTTTTTCCGTCATATTCTCGCACGACACTTTCATCTCGATATTGTTCGTTTAAGAGGAAGTCAATAAAACTGTCAGGATACTTTATCACACAGAATACGTAAGGATTATGGCCAAGAACTAAAGAGTGCTCGTATTTAGTGTAAAGTGTAAGATAACTTGTACACTTAAGCCTCAATAGTAATAATGATAGAGTCTAAAAATCGTGCAAGAAAGCACAGGCGTGTGTAAAGTAACTTTCAAAAGTCTGAAACGCGTCGGTACGCGCGACTTTGTCGGGTACGAAAGCGGGATATACTCGAATTGTTTATTGCTATAGGTATACGTATGTGTGTGTATGTGTGTATGTGTATATATATATATATATAATATATATATATATATATATTTATTTTTATATATATGGATATGAGTGTGTATGTGTGTACGCACATACACACACATACCCCATTAAATCAACTACACGAACGTAGCTGTCTAAAGCAACATTGCTGTAATTGCTGTGCTTTGCGTATTATATCTGGCCTTCTAATATTTAAAATGTATAATCTATGTTCATTTATAGTAATAAAAAGCTGCAATCTCTGAAAATAGTTTGATGATGAGTAAAATGAACAACGTTCAATAAAACGAATCCTATTCGAAAGCGCGCGCTCGCAATTATAGCACATATTTTATCTCTGTGTCGGTCGGCTGCTTAGGATAAGCTGTATATACGCAGTCTCAATTGAGGTATTTGCGACATCTGCGGGAACCGCAAGTACAAGGGATCTTGATATCCTCAAATGGGAATTTGTAATCGTACGTCAACTCTTCCCCCTGAGTAATGCGGCGAAGAGCAAAAATCAGTATATGCTTCTTACCCAGAATATCAACTACTCGTGAGTAACAGTTTGGCTGTAAAAAAAATACACACTTTTCAATATAATATATTATAACATCTTCATATTAGATATTTATCACTAGAATTCAACCGTACAAATCATTAAAATAATAATTGCATTGAATGTTGATGTATAATTAATATAATAACCGACTATACACACAAATTAATGTGAAAGGCTTCAGTGATTTACAAAATCAAATCAAATTCAAAAGGAGCGTAAAGACCATTTGACATTTTAACTTTTCACTGATAAATTTCAATAGTTATTCACTCTTCCATCTCGTTCCTTCTGGATAGATGAGTTTGCTTGCAACATGTATTTTTCACAATTGTAACAATTCTTTTTAACGAACCGAACAACATTTCTTCGAAATGGATTTGTAATATATCATCCACATCTTTTTATCTTTATAATCACTGCGTGCGATGCTTTCGTCAATATTGTACACTGATATTGTACAGGAAGGCCTGACGTCAGGCTAAAACGTTTGTAAATAATTTTAAATGAGAATACAGTAACCTTTGCACGAAGAACTTGCATTGTGGCTCTTTACGCTCCTTTTGAATTTTATTTGACTATATACACATATGTACAATATACACACACACACACACACTTTGTTCTTTAGATATTGATGAATAATATAATTCATAGTTCTTGAACTTCACGCAATCATACTTTTGCTGCTCACTGCTTTCTTTATCATTAATTACTTTTAAAGAAGCACACTTGTACAGTATTTTAGATGAAAGTTGTGCTTGTGTTCGGAAGACATAAAATAATAATTTAATTTTGAATTCTTCCACTAAGAATAGAGATTCAAGATTAATTTGAATTTTTCATATTTCGACTATATATTTTTTTAATATTTTGAAGAAATTTCTTTTTTCTAAAATTAACGGTATACAAAAATAGGATTGCGTAAGGAAAACTTAAAGAAAAAGAAATATATAGTGTCCCGGATCTACTATATCGCCCGTTAATGGCAAATTCTTCAAGTCATTTAGAGATAAAAATATCAAAATTTAAATCAATTATTTTATATCAAAATATCGAGATTACAATAGTTTTTAAGTGGAAAATATTTAAAGCTGACCAATCAGATTGTGAGAAATTTGTGCGCTCAAACACGTATCATATTAATTTTTATATTTTTACTATGTCGCATACTCATAAGTGACACAAGTCGAAATTTTTCGAATTTTGTTTTATGTGTAATTGTCTTCTAAATACATTGGCTTTCAATCGGGAAAAGTGATAGAAGTTAAACTCAAATACTTTCAGTGTGTTGTGTCTGTTATGCTTAATACTGCTGTAAATAATTAATTTTAAAATTATTCTTTAACCAAGCATAGACGTGTGAAATGTATATTTTTCGTAAAATCAAGCTTGCTTCAGACGGTTTATAATTTGCGACAAAATTTGAGATAAAAACTAATTAATATTAATATATTAATAATATTATGAATATTAATTATTAATTAAATATAAATTAATATTAATAGGAAATGTCATATTAACGCAATTCCTTCTTTCTTCTTTCCTGAACAATTTGATACTTTTGACTTGTGTCACTTTTCTTGCGGGTGTACGATGTGAAAAACATCATTGGTCTATGACACGCTTTGACAGTTCGATGCGTATCGTATTCTAACGTCTCAATATTCCAACAAATTTTAAAGCTATTACTATTGCAATATTTGTCATATTAATCGTGTATAAATTAGAAGGTAAATTTATAGTCATTTCAATAATAGTACAGTCATTATATTAATATCAATAATTAAAGTAATGTCTGTAGACGTTATTCTGATGTGCGATGTCCCAAAGCGCGTAAATTTTTGACAATTAGATTGGTTAACTTTAAACACTTTCTATTTCTTTAAAACTACTGCAGCCTTGATATTTTGGTATTAAGATTTTTTTCTCTAAATGATTTCAGGAATCTGTCATTAACAAAAAATAAACTGTAACGGGTGTTACAGTAGGTTTGGAACACTTTGTATGTATGTATGTATGTATGTATATGTATGTATATGTATATATATATATATATATACAGAGTGATTATGTAATATATACTATATACTACTTATATAATATATAATATACAGGATGTCCCATGGGAAATTGCTGAAACGAATTAGCTGTCATTTTTAAACACACATAGAGAGAGTAAGAAAAGTAAAATATCTTTTAACAGAGGATATTTTGCAATTTTATTTACATATAAACTAAAAACAATTGGAAATATTTTTATCATTAAATAAGTGTTTGTAAGAAAAATGTCAAATTTCGCTAATTTTAATGGTGTATATTATTAAAGTGCGCACAGTCAGAATTACAATAAAAATTAATCGCTTTTGTAAACTATAAAAAACTGTATGCAACAAAAGTTACAGTTATAGTTTCCGAAAGCGACTTGATTTTTGTTATAATTCTGATGGAGCGCACTTTAAAAATATGTACCATTAAAATTAGTGATTTTTGCATTTTTTAATAAACGTTTATTTAATAATAAAAATATTATTTTTAATTTACATGCAAATAAAACTGCGAAATGTCCTCTGTTATAAGATATTTTACTTTTCCCGCTTCCTGTGTGTGTTTAAAATGACAGCTAAGTTTCAGCAACTTCCCATGAGACAACCGGTATATATAATTACACATTAACGTTATTAAAAATAATAATATATTATATAATCACTGTCAGTTTAGATTATTAAGCAAACCCTTGGTGAAAATAGGAAAAAGTCATACCTCACATGAGTGATTGATAAATCTAGCTGCATTTCCTTTCATCGTAGCATCAACAACCAGGTGATCGTCGATTTTAAACATGTAACAACCTATATTCTTGCTGTCGTAATATTTTTCTCTCTTGTCGGTCAAGGAAGATCGAATAACCTGAAGACAATTAACAATATTGATAAATATATAAAATAGCAATTTCCGTACCAATTTCAAGTTTCAAGTTTCGAATTTTGACTAGTTGAGATAAAGAGTTGATCAAGAGAGATTCAGATTAAAAAGTGACAGTCCGACTGTATTACCGATATTTTCAAAAGATCGCTCGCTACTTACTTCGCCAGCATATTCAATGACCATTTCACCAGCTTCGATATCCCTCAAGCAAAATAGTCCTCTACCATGAATGTGAGAATGGTACACGCCAACAGATTCCTTTGATGTTTCTTTAAGTATTCTAAAGCGCATCGCCATGGGCAAATTAGTACTTGCGACACGCCTGGAAGAAACATATCTTGCAATAATATTCAACGCGACAACACTCTATTAAATGAACATTAATATTATTGCAATAAAAGAGAAGTGCTCCCTGCTCCTTTTCAAAGAAATGTGCTTGTTTATTTTTTATCTGGAGAATAAATTATTTATAATCATCAGATCCCAACTATAGAGACTATAGATCAGTGCTGTTCAATCTTTCCGTACATGCGAACTACTTATATTTAGTAGAGCGACCTCGCAATCTAACCATGTACAAAATTAGAGGAAAAAAACACAAAATTAGAATCAAACTCAATATTTATTAAGCATATCAATAGACAAATGAAGTGTCAATATGTAAACAAATTGAAAGAAACAAAGTGAATATCGAACTCCCAAACATAAATTTTATAATAGAATTCGAATAAAGTAAAAATTAAAAATGTGACGATCGATGAAAAAAGACGTCGCGGATCTCCGCTGCAGATGATGTACGATTCTTAATATGAAAAGTGTATATATTTGATACAAAATCTCACCTGGATTCCGCTTCCGATATGGTGATCACTTTCGGCTGCTGTCTGTGCCGTGACGCCAGCCAACTGAACATGTCGTGCACTTTCCTGCCTTTGAAGGGCTCCGCTCGAGCTGCCCCGTTGTCGCACGCTGCCGGCAATTCGTTTTCGATCTCGCCAGGTTTCGGCGGTCTTGGAGTGTGGAATCGGGGTTTGTACTTGCTGCACCTGTTGAGACCCGGCAGCTGCTCGACCAGATAAATGGTCGCGTTATTCTCGAGACCGAGACCCTCGGACAGGGGATTGTGCGGCAGAGGCGGCAAATTGTGGGCCCTGCGAGCGTTCTGCACCGCCTCGAACACCGTCTCCCAGACCTCGGCCATAGACGAGGCGGTATGAGTAAAACCGTCCTGCGACTTAATTTCGTACATCAAAATCGGTCCCTTCGCGCAATTCTTCTGTATCTGCTGTGAATTCTGTTGCGGGCCGTTCCTCATCGGTCTGATCGATTTCGCGATTATTCTAGGTTTCTTGACGGCCACCGGCGGTGCCTTTGTCTTAAGTATGTTCATCTTCGTGTCTATGGGCTTCACCTTGTCCTCAATTTTGTTCGTTTTGAGCGTGAACGTTTTGATCGGCAGTAATTGCAGCGATGCGATCTGTGGTACCTGCTTCGATGGAAGTATCTCCACGGACGTCACCTGCGGCACTTTCTTGCTCTGAGTGATTGCCTTCATGTTGCGCGTAATCTTGTAAGAGCCATCTTGCAGCTGTTTCTGCAGCACGATTTTTAACGACGTGTTCTGGAGCTTTTCCTTGTCAAGCTCCAGTTTGAGATTCTCTTTCACCTTCTCGATAGTCTCCTGATTCAACTTGATGCTGTCGCTAAGAATGTTGTTGAGCGCAGCCTCAGATTTGTTGATCGGAACAATCTCCTCGACGATCTCTTTCTTCGATTCCGCGACTTCCGGTTCGGCCGGCTTGATCATCGGTTTCGTTGGTTCCTCGATCGTCAAGTCGTCCTTCTTCGCCGGATCTTGTTTCGGTGTGACCGCTTGCATCGGTAAGACCCTGTTCATCGGTCGACTGGTCGGCACGCCATTGCTCATCGCCATCGAGATTTTGTTCTGCGAGGAGTTGCAGTTGGCGTTGACGACCGGATTGTTGCCGCTCAAGTTTACACAGTTGGGATTAGGTACGGCACCGCTGCTGTAGCTTTTATGCACACTATTTACATCGTGGTTCGGTTTGTTATTTACAACTAAGTTTCTCTGCGCGACATAGTGATTCGGTAGGGGCGGTATCTTGGACGATGATATGCTGGATTTGATCATGCTGGTGTTTTCCGACACGTGCTTCGAATCGAAGTACGGCCGCACGCTGTTGCTCATCGATTGCTCCGCGCCGAACAGCGTCTCGGTGATCTTCCATGTAGTTCCGTGATTTATCTGTGCGACTGAATGCGCAGCCGGACTAGGTCGCACGGCGACGCGGGGTATCGTCGGCATCACGGCATGCGGTAACGGCGGCGGCGGCGGCGGCGGCGGCGG